GAGAATGGCCAGACTTCGTCTCACCTAGTTTGGTCACGTTGTTAGAAGGGACCATTCCCTGGAGAAGGATGTCATGCTTGGTAAGGTGGAGGGTCTATGAAAGAGGGGAAAGTCCTTAATGAGATGGATTGACTCAGTGGCTGCAACGATGGGCTCAGGTGTGACCAGGATAGTGAGGCTGGCACAGGACCAGGTAGTGTTTCGTTCTGTTGTACACGGGGTCGGTATGAATCAGAGGCCAACTCAACAACAGCATTACAGCCTTGGAAACCCTATGGGGAAATTCTACCCTGATCCTGAAGCGTTGCTGAGTCAGAATTGACTCAATGCAGTGGATAATCATTATGGAGGTGGACTGTCACTTCTTTTTCCCATTGAATGGCTGGTGGGCTCAAACCACTGACTTTTCCGTTAGCGGGCGAGTGCTTAACCATTGTGCCAACAGGGCTTCTAGTTGGGAAACCATAGAAGTTTTTTTTCAAAAAATAATATTGTGTTTTTGGTGAAGGATTACACAGCAGTTTAGGTTCCTGTCCAGCCATTTCTACACAAGCTCTTTGGTGACACTGGTTACACTCCTCACAATGTGAGCATTCTCATGATTTCCATTCTGGTTGGTCCAATTCCTTTCATCTAGTTTCCCTACCTCCATACATTGTCATCATTGTTTTAAAGTCATTGTTGACTCTTTGCTCTCATTCATGATTTTTTTTTTTTTCATGATTATGGGGTTTATTAGGGAAGTAACAGGCTACAATTCAGGTTCAGGAACACACTCAGGAGACGACTCTTCAGTCAGGACAGCCTCGCCTCTGCTGTGCCCTCAGACACTCCTTTCTGACCCTTGGCCTCTTGGCCTGGCCTCTGCCTCTGTGGGCCGGGTAAGCCTGTGGGCCACTCTGTCTCATGCCTCTTGGTCCCACTGCCACCATCTCTCTCATTTAGATGATTTTTTTGAAGAAGCACAGGACCCACGGGTGGAGTCCTTATTTCGTGAGCCGATCTGGCATGTAGTTAAAAGGCGGCCTCAGGAGCTAGTTTTGATTCAAGGTTTAAAGAGTATCTCAGGGCAAGTCTGAGGGAGTCCTCCAGTCTCAAGCGATCCAGTTAAGACTCATTTCATTTATTTAAGATTTTGAGGTTCTGTTCCACATTTTTCTCCCATTCTGCAGCTCCCATGCTGCATCTATTGGGACTCTGACCAGCAGCAGTAGCCGGTCACCACTGGGCGGACAAATCAAAGTAGACACCATCCCCCGCTATCTGGTTCTTCTGGTGTCAGGGCAGATGGGCCGTGATTTGTGTAGATGTAGTCTTGTAGACTACTTTCTTCTTTGAGTCCGTGGTTTCCTGTCATCTCTGTTACTCCAAATGACTGGAGACCAATAGTTGTAATGTAGATGGCTGCACCACAGAAGAGTTCCAAGCCAGGGAGTGGCCCATCAGGTCCCGGACACTAGGAAGGTCCCTTTGGTGGTTGGTGAGAACTTAATGGGGAGAAACAGGAAGTAGCAAAACCAATCTGAAGGGACCAGAAGTGAGGCCCTGACTCAAGGCACAGGCTGAGGAAGATGGAAAGGAAAGGTTGAATGTGAGGGGGCAATAGGGAGGTCAGTCCCATCTCGATTGTAAGTGCCAAGATGGCGGGGCATGGGGTCCAGCTTGGCTTCTTCCAGTATCCCCAGGTCTAGCACCATCCCAGGCACGTAGGAGATCTCCATAAATATTTGTGATAAATGAAGGGACAAGGCAGTCAATGACCAGGAACTGGTCCAGACTGGAGAAAGAGAACAAAGGAAAGACGGGCCTGGATGGGGGGTCTTGTCATCACTGCATCTCTCATCTTGTCTTTGCTCACCATCTCCACCCCAACTTCCAGGGACCCCTGGCCTGGACTCCATCTCAGATCCGTTCAGTTGGAGCTGGATCCCTGAGCTCGGCAGAGATCGGGATGCCTGGCTCCCTGGGGAGCTGACCACAAAACCCTCTGCAAAGGTGACCCCCAGTGCTCCCGAGAAAACCACCACTAAGGCCTCACGGAAAATGCCCAAGAGTACTAAGAAGTGGATAACGAAAAATGCAAGAAGACCAACCACTCAACCTCCCATGATGCCAACCACTAAACACGCCAGGGGCTTGGGGACCCCAAATCCCCTAGAAATAACCTCACGGACCACCACAACCCAGACCACTAAGGCTTCCCGAAGACCACCCTCTGAGTTTACCACAAGGCTGACCACTGAGGCCCCCCACAGACTGACCTCATCCACCACTGCCACGCGTATGCCTCAGTCTTGCCAAGAACCAACCTCTAAAACTTTGGCAATGCTGACCACTCAGGGCTCCCCAGAAATGACTTCTGATGCTACTACCAAGCAGATCCCTCAGGCCTCCGTGGACCCATCCTCTGAGATCCCAGCAGCGGGATCTCCAGAGTCATCCAGAGATGCCACACCCTCCCCGACTGGCACTACCAGGAAGGAATCAGGTGAGAGTGGCAGGAACAGAAAGAGGAGTGGGGGACTGGAGACAGAGGAGAGGCTGACCTCTCCTGACCTGAGGGCCTTCTACCGGCAGGCCCCTTCCGGGTTCGTCTGGCCGATGGACCCAACCGGTGCGCCGGCCGGCTAGAAGTGTGGCATGCTGGACGCTGGGGGACAGTGTGTGATGACAGCTGGGACCTGCGGGATGCCACTGTGGCCTGCTGGGAACTGGGCTGTGGAAGGGTCCGGCCCCGAGTGGGCAAAACCCACTATGGCCCAGGGACCGGCCCCATCTGGTTGGATGACGTGGGCTGCAAGGGCGGCGAGGCATCGCTGAGCGACTGCCCCGCTGGGCCATGGGGAAAGCACAACTGTGACCATGAGGAAGACGTGGGGCTCACCTGCACTGGTACCAGGGGTGGGAGCGCGGGGAGGGGAAGGGGCAAAAGTTAGGAGCTCCAGGGATGGTCGTTAGGCCAGGTGGCCACATCATGGTGGGATCTAAAAGTCTAGGCATGAGGGGGTTGAGGAGAACCCAGAGTATCTCCAGGAGACACCAAGAAGGGAGGGAGCAGCACCAAGGAGCCGAGACCAAGGACAGGGCTCAACCCTTCCCCATTCCCCCCCAAGGCTACACGGACGCTGAGGATTATCCCCCCTGGACCTGGGACCCCACCTCAGGAGAGGACCTAGCCAAAGGGACCACCGCTGCAGGGGCACCTGGACAAACTCTCTCCTGGGGCACCACCAGGAGCCCAGGGGTACCTTCTCCTGCAACAAGGCACCTTCCGGACAGAGGTGAGGGGCGTGGCCACGGTGGTGGAATATTCATAAACTTCCATCCATCTCTTCAGGGCTTCCAGAAAGACCCTTCTGAAAGACCTGGCCCAGGCGTCAGAGACCTGGGACAGCTTTTACTTGGTTCCAGAGACCCTAAAAATGTTTCCTCTATGGGGCTGACCATAACATTGTCCTTGAGGAGCCCAGAAGAGGAAATAATCATGAGTTCTCCTAGGTCTCTAAGAAACTGAACCAGACTCAGCAAATGCTGAGCCTGTAGGCCTTACAAACACGTACAGGGACCCACGGGAACTGGCATGTCCCCCTGACCAGGAGCCTGTGACATCCAGGATCTCAGCAGAAATCCTCCCAGACCTCACAGCTGAGGCCCACTCTGTCACCATGTCATCCTCGCTCAAAGCAGGGGAACCCAGCCTGTTCGCAAGGCTCACCTCCTTCATCCCAGCATCCCAGCTAGGGGGTCCGTCGTCCATCTCGGCCCCTCTTTCCGAGCTCTGTTGCTCACACGTTCCCTCTCTGTCAGTTCCTCACCCCATCACGTCTCTTTTCTGTGGTCCATTTCTCGTTCTCTCTTTTCATTCTCCATTTAACTCTTTTTCTCCTTGTGCTTTTTCTTCTTATTATCAAGCTTTTATATTCTTCATTTTCATCATTTTTTTCCTCCACAAATTCCCTTACTTTCTTTTACTCATCTTTTGTTATCCATTTCATGCTCTCATTTCTGTTTCTCACTCCCTTTTTCATGGTCAGCTTCTCTATCCTTTTTCCTGAGTCTTCCTTTTTCTTTTTCTTTCATTATCAGTTTTCACACTCATCTTGATTTCTCAATGTCTGTTTTCCACAGTTCCTCTTGCATCTTGTTTTTGTCACCATCTTTCTGATACTCCTTTTATTATCGATTCTACTCTCCTCATCTCTAGTTCTCAAGTTTTCTTGATCTTTTTTCTTCTCACCATCAATTTCACACTCTCAACATCTCCTCATCTATTTTCCCCCCAGTCAGTATCTCCCGCCATCTTGTTTTCCCCATCTTTCTCTTGGAGTTGGGTTCCGGCACCATTTTGTGTTTTTCTTGTTGTCCCTTCCCTTTCTGACTACCTCTCACTTTCATTTCCCTCACTTTTTGTTTCTTTTCCTGTCCTTTCGGTCTGTTTCTATCTCTGACGGTCTCTCCTCTCACTAGTCCCAACCGTTTCCCTCAGGAGCTGCTTCACTTCTACCTCCAAGCTCCGGAGATCACCCGGTCACCATAGGCTCACTGGCTGCTTGTTGCACTCTCCCTGCTCATTATCTCTGTCACCTTGTCATCTGGCTTCTGTCACCTTGTGCCCCTCTGTCTTCACCTGCTCTTCCTCCTCGGGGTCTCAAGGGGGCCTCCCCACACGCCTACCCAACCTTTTGCACGTACTCAGTACGCATGCGCACGCCCAGAATGGAGGAGGGGGAGAGGCAGGCTGAGAGACAGGCGTTCATTTGCCTCGCGCTTTGTGACATCACTGGTGAGCTGCACCTCTGATTGGCTGGCTGACCCCTTGCCCCACTACGCACCGTGTCTCTTGCCTTAGGAGCTTGCCTTAGGATGGGAGAGGAGGGGGAAGGAGAGAGCAGGGCGCGGAGGGGGCATGATTTGTGTGTATGTTGGGAACGGAACCCAAGTTGTGAGTTAAGTCTCATTGCCTCCAGTTTGCAAAATTGGGACCTGAAGCTCCCAGAGGTGATCTTTGTTCGAAGCCAGTCAGCTCGGTGCAGGCAGGCGGGAGTCCACAGCGACCCGGCGCTGCCTCCCTATCCCATAGCGCCCCCTCGTGGCGGAAACAGTCGTAGGCTGGGCAAGGACACTGTAGTGAGGGTCTCTGGGTCCCACCCTGAGCTAGTCTCGTCCCTGGTGGGGGAATGGAAGGAAAGTCAACGTGCAACCATGATACTAGGAAGACTGAGGAAGGAGGGCTGTGGTGGGGAGAGTGGGAGAAGAGACAGACAGGAACTAAAATTCTCGTTAGCAGGTCACCTTGAGCTAATGAGTGTACCTCTGAGCTTCAAGTTCTTCCTGGGGGGGAAATAATGGAGAGTCAGGGTTGCTGGAGAGAGTGAGATGCAGTTTACTGGCCCGAGCTCGGCAGCCTGATAAAGCTTTGTGTGCACCTTTCCAACAACTGTCGACATAGGTCCTGTTGTCAACACCCATTTAAAAAAAAAATTGTTGTAAAATGGTATGTAACACACTTCCCAAGTCACCGTTTCTGACATGACAGTTTAGTGATGTCAATTGCAGTCATCATGTCTGTAACCATCACCGATAAAACCAAAAACCCAAACCCAACCCACTGCCATCGAGTGGCTTCCGACCCAGGGAGCCCCACTGGGTTTCCGAGGCTGTAAATCTTTCCGGAACTGGATAGCCCCATATTCCTTCTGTGGAGTGGCTGGTTGGTTTGGGGACCGCTGACCTGGTTAGCAGTCAGTGGGGGTGAATTTTCCACCACCCTAAATTAGAGGGTCAGAGAAAAAGGGGAAGGCCCCCAACCAGATGGACGGACACAGAGGCTGCGACCATGGGCTCAGGCACAGCAAGGACTGTGAGGCTGGTGCGGCGCCGGCAGGGTTTCCTCCTGTTGTACACCGGGTCGCTGAGTCAGTATTGACCCCGGCCCCTAGCAGCACATGAGCAGGCACCCGTGCTACCCGCTTCCAGGGCCACTAGTTAAACTCGATGCATTTGTGCATGCGGGACATTGCATGTCAGTGAAGGCACAGCATAGCTGTCCCTTTGTCCCACCCATGGTTTTGATGGAGGGAAGAACATGAGTCTCCGAGGAGCTGAACTTTTAATGACTGGAAGCCATGTTAATTTCACACACATGGTCCACTTCAGACACTCAGGCCTCGCGGTTCTGCCGCATTCCCGGATATAATCAACAGGGGAGAGAAACTATCTTTTTTTTTGGGGGGGGGGAATTTGATCGGTCAAAGCAAGAAAAGACTTTGAGGACGTGGACAGTGCTGTTCCCATGGCATTTACACCGTCTGAGGTGCTGTAAGGTTTGGAGACGATCGAAGCGAGGGGGAGCAGGGGCGTGGTTATAGGTAGGTACCAGGCCACTCTCCGGGATGGGCCGGAACATCGGGGGTTTGGGTAGGGGGTGCCTGGAGGCAGCCCCCCGCGGATACTGAGGGCCACCCTATAAAGGGAAATAAGGCATACTTCGCTTTTGTTTCGGTTTTTGCACTTTATTGCACTTCACAGATACGGTGTTTTTTACACATTGAAGGTTTGTGGCAGCCCAGCTGGGACCAAGTCTGTTGGCGCCATTTTCCAACGGCATGTGCTCCTTTTGCTCATTTCGTGTCTCTGTGTCACATTGGTGTCCTGAATCTTTCCAACTTTTACATAATGCTATTGCACTCTTAATAGGCTGCAGTGGTGTCAACATGGGTTTTATAGGCCTTGGGAAACCAAAATATTTGTGCAACTGGCTTGGTTGTGATACTGCCTTTTTGTGGTGGTCTGGACCCGAGCCCGCAGCGTCTCCAGGGTCGGCCCGTAGTTGCCAGCGCGAGTGTTGGAGCCAGAGAGACCCTCTGAGTTCCAATTGTCATTGCACGGAGATTAGAACTAGCTGGGTGATCTCAGGTCGTAATCCAATGAGCAAAATGTGTGTGAGATTGTTCCAAACCACAAAATGTTGGGTTGTTAGAATTACTTACAGAAAATGAAAGTAAGGATCCCAGGAAAGGAGTAATTATTTCTAGTAGAGCCACGTGGGAAGGCCCTCGAGTCAGTTACCACTCACAGCGCCCCTAGAGGACAGAGTGGAACTGCACCACAGGGTCTCCAAGGCTGTCAATCTTCACAGAAGCAAAGCCTAAACCACACCCACTGCCATGGAGTCCATTCTGACTCACAGCGCCC